CCTTCATGGGGACAAAGCATCTCTGCATTCTATTTAACACTAGCAGTAACATCAAAAGTGCACTGTGGGGACATCGTAAATGTGCCAGATGACACTGATTTTTGGGCCAAAGGAAAATATCCAGACAGGTCCACATCCATCCACAAAGTTCCTTTATCTTTTGCCTCATTGAGGCATTAGCCTTAACTGTTAGTAGACCTGATTGACAATGCATTAGCCCCACAATGAGCTCATTTGCTTTATTTAGTGCTAAAACCCAACTTACAGAGGCTGAAAAAGTAAACATCAAGTAATGAGGGTGAACGTACCTGTCCAGGAGTGTCCTGTGGAGAAGGAGCTTCTTCCATCCGTTTCTCAGACATGACAGCAGGATGGGAGCTCTTTGCAGGATGAGTATCAATGGCACACAATGTCATCTGCAATGATTTGTAAGGAAACAAAACTATGACAATATGAAAACCTTTAGGTCAATGTAATGTCAACACTGCATAATATTCAAGCAGATAAATACATGTTCTTAAGGATCTCTAACATTTAATACATGTCAAAACACCAGACGTCAGGGGAGAAGAAATCTCCAAATTGTACTGTAATATTTCAGTCAACCTGTGTTTGCTGTCACACATCGTCAACACAACAAGCTTAATGGGGACATTTTCACACACCATGTTTTCATCCTTCATGGGGACAAAGCATCTCTGCATTCTATTTAACACTAACATCAAAAGTGCACTGTGGGGACATCGTAAATGTGCCAGATGACACTGATTTTTGGGCCAAAGGAAAATATCCAGACAGGTCCACATCCATCTACAAAGTCCCTTTATCTTTTGCCTCATTGAGGCATTAGCCTTAACTGTTAGTAGACCTGATTGACAATGCATTAGCCCCACAATGAGCTCATTTGCTTTATTTAGTGCTAAAACCCAACTTACAGAGGCTGAAAAAGTAAACATCAAGTGATGAGGGTGAACGTACCTGTTGAGGAGTGTCCTGTGGAGAAGGAGCTTCTTCCATCCGTTTCTCAGACATGACAGCAGGATGGGAGCTCTTTGCAGGATGAGTATCAATGGCACACAATGTCATCTGCAATGATTTGTAAGGAAACAAAACTATGACAATATGAAAACCTTTAGGTCAATGTAATGTCAACACTGCATAATATTCAAGCAGATAAATACATGTTCTTAAGGATCTCTAACATTTAATACATGTCAAAACACCAGACGTCAGGGGAGAAGAAATCTCCAAATTGTACTGTAATATTTCAGTCAACCTGTGTTTGCTGTCACACATCGTCAACACAACAAGCTTAATGGGGACATTTTCACACACCATGTTTTCATCCTTCATGGGGACAAAGCATCTCTGCATTCTATTTAACACTAGCAGTAACATCAAAAGTGCACTGTGGGGACATCGTAAATGTGCCAGATTACACTGATTTTTGGGCCAAAGGAAAATATCCAGACAGGTCCACATCCATCTACAAAGTCCCTTTATCTTTTGCCTCATTGAGGCATTAGCCTTAACTGTTAGTAGACCTGATTGACAATGCATTAGCCCCACAATGAGCTCATTTGCTTTATTTAGTGATAAAACCCAACTTACAGAGGCTGAAAAAGTAAACATCAAGTAATGAGGGTGAACGTACCTGTTGAGGAGTGTCCTGTGGAGAAGGAGCTTCTTCCATCCGTTTCTCAGACATGACAGCAGGATGGGAGCTCTTTGCAGGATGAGTATCAATGGCACACAATGTCATCTGCACTGATTTGTAAGGAAAAAAAACTATGACAATATGAAAACCTTTAGGTCAATGTAATGTCAACACTGCATAATATTCAAGCAGATAAATACATGTTCTTAAGGATCTCTAAAATTTAATACATGTCAAAACACCAGACGTCAGGGGAGAAGAAATCTCCAAATTGTACTGTAATATTTCAGTCAACCTGTGTTTGCTGTCACACATCGTCAACACAACAAGCTTAATGGGGACATTTTCACACACCATGTTTTCATCCATCCTTGGGACAAAGCATCTCTGCATTCTATTTAACACTAACATCAAAAGTGCACTGTGGGGACATCGTAAATGTGCCAGATGACACTGATTTTTGGGCCAAAGGAAAATATCCAGACAGGTCCACATCCATCTACAAAGTCCCTTTATCTTTTGCCTCATTGAGGCATTAGCCTTAACTGTTAGTAGACCTGATTGACAATGCATTAGCCCCACAATGAGCTCATTTGCTTTATTTAGTGCTAAAACCCAACTTACAGAGGCTGAAAAAGTAAACATCAAGTGATGAGGGTGAACGTACCTGTTGAGGAGTGTCCTGTGGAGAAGGAGCTTCTTCCATCCGTTTCTCAGACATGACAGCAGGATGGGAGCTCTTTGCAGGATGAGTATCAATGGCACACAATGTCATCTGCAATGATTTGTAAGGAAACAAAACTATGACAATATGAAAACCTTTAGGTCAATGTAATGTCAACACTGCATAATATTCAAGCAGATAAATACATGTTCTTAAGGATCTCTAAAATTTAATACATGTCAAAACACCAGACGTCAGGGGAGAAGAAATCTCCAAATTGTACTGTAATATTTCAGTCAACCTGTGTTTGCTGTCACACATCGTCAACACAAGCTTAATGGGGACATTTTCACACACCATGTTTTCATCCTTCATGGGGACAAAGCATCTCTGCATTCTATTTAACACTAGCAGTAACATCAAAAGTGCACTGTGGGGACATCGTAAATGTGCCAGATTACACTGATTTTTGGGCCAAAGGAAAATATCCAGACAGGTCCACATCCATCTACAAAGTCCCTTTATCTTTTGCCTCATTGAGGCATTAGCCTTAACTGTTAGTAGACCTGATTGACAATGCATTAGCCCCACAATGAGCTCATTTGCTTTATTTAGTGATAAAACCCAACTTACAGAGGCTGAAAAAGTAAACATCAAGTGATGAGGGTGAACGTACCTGTTGAGGAGTGTCCTGTGGAGAAGGAGCTTCTTCCATCCGTTTCTCAGACATGACAGCAGGATGGGAGCTCTTTGCAGGATGAGTATCAATGGCACACAATGTCATCTGCAATGATTTGTAAGGGAAAAAAAACTATGACAATATGAAAACCTTTAGGTCAATGTAATGTCAACACTGCATAATATTCAAGCAGATAAATACATGTTCTTAAGGATCTCTAAAATTTAATACATGTCAAAACACCAGACGTCAGGGGAGAAGAAATCTCCAAATTGTACTGTAATATTTCAGTCAACCTGTGTTTGCTGTCACACATCGTCAACACAACAAGCTTAATGGGGACATTTTCACACACCATGTTTTCATCCTTCCTTGGGACAAAGCATCTCTGCATTCTATTTAACACTAACATCAAAAGTGCACTGTGGGGACATCGTAAATGTGCCAGATGACACTGATTTTTGGGCCAAAGGAAAATATCCAGACAGGTCCACATCCATCTACAAAGTCCCTTTATCTTTTGCCTCATTGAGGCATTAGCCTTAACTGTTAGTAGACCTGATTGACAATGCATTAGCCCCACAATGAGCTCATTTGCTTTATTTAGTGATAAAACCCAACTTACAGAGGCTGAAAAAGTAAACATCAAGTAATGAGGGTGAACGTACCTGTTGAGGAGTGTCCTGTGGAGAAGGAGCTTCTTCCATCCGTTTCTCAGACATGACAGCAGGATGGGAGCTCTTTGCAGGATGAGTATCAATGGCACACAATGTCATCTGCAATGATTTGTAAGGGAAAAAACTATGACAATATGAAAACCTTTAGGTCAATGTAATGTCAACACTGCATAATATTCAAGCAGATAAATACATGTTCTTAAGGATCTCTAAAATTTAATACATGTCAAAACACCAGACGTCAGGGGAGAAGAAATCTCCAAATTGTACTGTAATATTTCAGTCAACCTGTGTTTGCTGTCACACATCGTCAACACAACAAGCTTAACGGGGACATTTTCACACACCATGTTTTCATCCCTCATGGGGACAAAGCATCTCTGCGTTCTATTTAACACTAGCAGTAACATCAAAAGTGCTCTGTGGGGGACATCGTAAATGTGCCAGATGACACTGATTTTTGGGCCAAAGGAAAATATCCAGACAGGTCCACATCCATCTACAAAGTCCCTTTATCTTTTGCCTCATTGAGGCATTAGCCTTAACTGTTAGTAGACCTGATTGACAATGCATTAGCCCCACAATGAGGCTCATTTGCTTTATTTAGTGCTAAAACCCAACTTACAGAGGCTGAAAAAGTAAACATCAAGTGATGAGGGTGAACGTACCTGTTGAGGAGTGTCCTGTGGAGAAGGAGCTTCCTCCATCCGTTTCTCAGACATGACAGCAGGATGGGAGCTCTTTGCAGGATGAGTAATATTCTGTCAAAAATTTCCAAAATATGTGAAAACACTAATGAAAACACATTCTCACACTGTTAGTCTGAGACATTCTCAAACTCTACACATTTAAATACTGTGCAGTCATCAGACATACTTTTATTCGCCATGGGCAGTCATTGCCTCCGTAGTCATACGTAATTTCTTCACCGTCCTTTATGTCTTTAGAGCAAAAAGACATAGGTGTGGGCTTCCCTCCACCTCAACTTTTTTCATACGACAATTTGGATGTCTGTGTTCATCATTCACTAGGCGGCCAAATGAACCATCTTCTCTGGATGCATCAATACTTAAAATGGACAAGAGAAAGAGGAAAATAAAACAATTTACTTAAAAATAATGTCATTCCCAGGTCCAGTGCAAAATGTTCTCTTCATTTTGCCATATTTAAACATTCAATGTATTTCCTTTACCTTGCAGTGTCACATTATTAAATGGCAGACATTGATTGTGCAAGCTTATATCAAATTCAACAATTCATACAAAGTATATAAAGAAATATATGTATGTATGTAAATACGGAGATGAAGTGCAATTTTAAATCTTACCACCATGTTTTCCCAATCCACTTGAAGAGAAAGAAAATGCAGCACATGGACGGGTGATAAACTTTTCTCCTCCTCTCGGCTTCAGCATCATCTATCAAATCACCCCTGTATTCAACCACAAAGTCTCCCTTGCAGATGGAACCTACGGCAAACAAACCACGTCCTGCAAGAAAAAAAATAAAGGAAATGTAATCAGATTATGCCCCCATCTAAAAAAAAAAATCTACAACCTTTGGTTTGCCATTTCTTTATTATATTCTACCGGTGTATCCTTTTGTTGTAGATTTAATAACGTTCTTTTTTTTAATGCATTTGACACTACAATACTTTGTTGTGATAAATAATTTTTCAAATTGACTAATTGTCATATTACTAAAGTGATGTTCTGTGTCCATTGCGGCCATCTGTCGGCCCTTTTTGGAATAGTTTGGACATGCCTGATATAAAACCTGCAAAGCAGTGTTCCCCAGGACCAGGGTTGGGAAACACTTGATTTAAGGACTATGTGTCTGTTTATATCTGTGTAAAGCATCCTTGGGTTTCTTGAAAGGTGCTATATAAATTCAAGTTATTACCATCATCATCATCATCATCTTCTAAACATAAGGCATCATCTTACCTTTTACTGCATCAATGAATTTCACCTCCAGTTTCCATGTTTTGTCAGTCTTTGCACCAACATGATGACAGGCATCATTCAAAGGACTGAGCCTGGGCGGCATGTCAAACTGAAAATAAATTAATAAAAAAGGGACATAGCCATGTCTTCAGTTACGGTGAAAATACATCAACTGTATTTTAAACTGTGCTATTCCAACACAATTTCTGTGAAGTCCAGCCTAAATAGAAGATATAAAATGGTGACTTTTGTTAATTAGTGACAAAAAAAGGACACATTTAAGGTGAAATACACAATGAACTCTTCTCAAGCACCGGTCCCTTCACTTAACAGTGTTTTTCAATCTTGGTACAGGGGGGCGACGGGGCCAGCAGTTATTGGATATTAAGTTGATTTACATAAAAATGTACATACAATAAAAGTTAATAATTTAATAGAAATCACATAACTTATGCAGATTAAATACAAGTAGTTAAATATGCTTGTGTTTGTTATATGATAAACATTTAGTAACGTGCATTTCACAATCTGTAGTGTATTAGCCCGGGAACCTAGTATTATTTGATGGTGTTTGTTGTGTCAGAATTCACTCGCACCTCCTATAAGCAATGAGACCCCCATTCCCCCTCCAATAATAATTTTCTGGTGCTGCCGCTGATACCTGAGCTCTGCTGCCATGCGGCTCTGAAGTTCACTAGCCACGTGCTCTCTAGCTAGCCACAGTGCAAGTTGAAGCGCACCATGGCGCACTTCAACTTTAAGTACATTATACATTTACCGTTTACCCACATATATATTATTATATATATTATATTAACTGAATTAATCCATCCTGGTACTCGAAAACTGCTACCTGACTTGAGCACGGTTGCTAATTAATGCTATCTATAACTTTCCTTGGCTAATAACCTTCAAACAAAAAAGACGATAGTTTGAATAAATAAATAAACATAAACCGCTAACTTCCAACAAAATGTTTAATACTTACTGAAAACGCCGCTGCCCACACTTCGTATCGCCATTAATCCTTTAAACCAAGTGTTGACAATCTCCTTTCCAGTCGTCGTGGTCTCTGTCTCGTCTGGCGGTTTCTTCGCAGACAGGCCTCTGTTTGTGGGCGTGGGAAACATGCGCGCGTTCTGATTGGTCAATAGTGTCAACAGTGTCAACAGTATCTGTTGAGTTGGTGCTCTCACTTTAATTATTATTATTATTATTATGAATGTTTACGCCTGTATTTATGTTGAGAAGACTGTTTTATTTACATTTGGATAACTCTGTTTTTTTTTTGTAACCCAGAGTAACCCAGAGTGACTCAGAATAACCATGAGTAAACGGGTCGGAGATCCAAGCCGCTGGTCTCGCCTGTTGTTTGATGGAGATGAGAAACATTATGAACTGTGGGAGACAAAGTTCTTGGGCCACCTCCGTTTGCAAGGCCTGAAAGACATTATTCTAAATGTACCCGATGCTGGAGACGCAGAGGAGCAACAGGACGCCAAAAATGCAGAGGCTTACGCAGAACTCATTCAATTCCTGGATAATAAAAGGATGCGGGTTTGTGCAGCGGAAGATAACGTGATGAAAGCGCGTGTGCAGCAGAGATGGAGACCTGCTGTTACGGGTGACCGAGGAGCGGACCGAGGAGCGGACCGAGGAGCGGACCGAGGAGCGGACCGAGGAGCGGACCGAGGAGCGGACCGAGGAGCGGACCGAGGAGCGGACAGGACAGCGACGGATTTAACGTGCTTCAAATGTGGATTGAAGGGACACTTGGCCAGAGCCTGTCAGCGCAGACTGTGGTGCAGTCACTGCTTGTGCTTCACAGCTAGAAGGTCCCGGGTTCGATTCCCACCTGGACGGGGCCTTTCTGTGTGGAGTTTGCATGTTCTCCCTGTGTCTGCGTAGGTTTCCTCCGGTACTCCGGTTTCCCCTACCACCAAAAACATGTACAATAGGCCGGGATGAATGATATGAGTGAGTGGTCGGAGGGGCCGATGGCGCAGATTGGCTGCCTCGCTTCAGTCAGTCTACCCCAGGGCAGCTGTGGCTACAATAGTAGCTTACCACCACCAAGTATGGAGTGAATGAATAGTGCAATGTAAAGCGTCTTTGAGTGTCCAGAAAGCGTTATATAAAACTGATGCATTATTATAGAAAAAGTATTTCGCGTGATGTAAAGTTGAGCTGATTTGCGTGAGGCTGCGGTCATGAAAATGTGTAGTTTGTGCCGTTGTTTTGACAGAGAAATGAAAAGGAGGCGCTGCGGTGTTTTTCTGCCTTTATTTAACTCTGTCATTGGCTGCTGTTTTCTGTGTGCTCGCTTTGGGGACGGTAAAATCACCTACGTTTCTCCTGTGCGTTCAAAATCGGGCTTAAAAATCAAACATATTTGATTTCCTGCAACTGAAGTCTAGTCGCGTCTGACTGCTGACACATTACACGATTCAAACGTGAGTCCAGTCGTGACCTCTCATACACTACGCGACACGACTCTGTGTGACTGCCTTTGACTAGACACGACTCGAGAAGACTCGGTGCAACTGAAAATTTGAGCAAAATCGGGCATAAAAGTCGTGTAGTATGGGCTAACCTTAACCGTCCCAAACCTGCAGGGCCTATAGGAATATGCCACATGAAATTAAGACCCCTAGTCTAAAGTGTTGCTATAACATGAGCAATTGGGCCAGCGTTGTTTTTTGTCACATAGTAAGTAAGTAAGTAATGTAGTATTTATATACCGCCTTTTCACTGCAGATCTGAGTCTCAAAGCGGTTTACAATTGTTAATTTTTGGGCAATTGTCTCTCACTCCACACAGAGATGGGAGCGGGGTCGCCAGTACAGGAGGCGCATGCCAGAACTATTGGACATATTTTTTAGTGGTAGGGGAAACCGGAGTACCCGGAGGAAACCTACGCAGACACGGGGAGAACATGCAAACTCCACTCAGAAAGGCCCTGGTCCGACCGGGATTCGAACCCAGGACCTTCTTGCTGAGAGGCGAGAGTGCTATCCACTCAGCCACCGTGCCGCCCTAAAGCAGGTCTGTGAATACCCTAAAGCAGGTCTGTGAAGACACATTGCCACATATCTTTTGGGTAATAGTTTCAGAGCGCTGTGTGTCACATTTCCTCCCAGCTAGCATAGATGACATGGTAGGTTGGCTACCTTTCTCACCCGAAGAGGCTTGCGGGTGTCGTGTGTGGACTCAATCACTTAAACACTGTGGAAGACATCTCTTCAATAATAATAATAATAATAATAATAATGATAATAATGTGCAATATCTTCATTGTGGAATAATTACTATTCAGCTGCACGAGTCAATACCCCATATGCAACTGCTGCTTTTGTAGTTGTGTTTTGTTTCTTGTATATAGTGCAGTGTTTCCCACACATAGACTAATCTGTGGCGCACCGCCACAGATTAGAGACCGCCCGCCACAAATTGCGTTTCGTATTATTATATATATATTTTTTTTGTTACGCTATTTAAAACATGCATCGTTAGTGCCGCCGCAGCGGTCAATTTGACAGCGGGGAGGGGGGTTTAAAATGTGGCGGCCCTTCGTAACTCTCACTCAAGCTACGCGTCTCTCCCACATACAGAGACCTACACACACACAGCCCCTCCCCTTCGTGCACACCGCGTGTCTCCGTCTCCATCAGCGATCATCGCTGTAAGCAGCTGTGTCTATTAATTTACCGCGGTAAAGTGGCCCGCATCTTTCAGCTCTATGAACATGCGGCCCGCATCGGGGAAAAGACGGTGCGCGTTTTGTTGAGAACTTACGGTAACAGCGGAACGTCCTTTCGGAGTCACCCATTTTTATCGAACAGAAAGCGCGCTGGGGTCAGGGAGACACGTTTTTGTGATTAAAACCTTATAGAGATGCCACCCGGCACACATAGCACCAGCCCCCTACGATTCCTCCGGCAGATTGTGAGTCCTCAGGAGGATAGCCACTCTATTGTTTACATGTATAAAGTACACAATTTGGTCCGCTAGTGCAATTTTCAAGTATTGTAACTATTTACTGGAATAAGGTGTGCGACTAATTTCACTTGACTCATGACCTTATTATTGCCCTCTGCCACTGTACCAAAGACCAGAAACTTTTACTGTAGAAATATTGAGAAATATTGAGGTAAAGTAGCCATTTTGGTCCAAAATACCTCCAAAATAGTCAAAACATGTCACTTTTGATCTACTGTAACTTTTTACTGTAAAAAGGTGTGCGACTAATTTCACTGGATTCATGACCTCAAGATTGTCCTCTACCACTGTACCAAAGACCAGACACTTTTACTGTAGAAATATTGAGAAATATTGATTTAAAGTAGCCATTTTGGTCCAAAATAGCCTAAAAATGGTCAAAACATGTCACATTTGATCTACTGTAACTTTTTACTGTAAAAAGGTGTGCGACTAATTTCACTGGATTCACGACCTCATGATTGCCCTCTACCACTGTACCAAAGACCAGAAACTTTTACTGTAGAAATATTGATTTAAAGCAGCCATTTTGGTCCAAAATAGCCTAAAAATTGTCAAAACATGTCACTTTTGATCTGCTGTAACTTATTACTGTAAAAAGGTGTGCGACTAATTTCACTGGATTCATGACCTCAAGATTGTCCTCTACCACTGTACCACTGTACCCCACTCCCCCCCCCCCCCCCCCGCTGACCACCACACATTGCCTTCAAACCTGTGGGAAACACTGCAGTGTTTATATTTATATTAATATTACCTTTTACCTGTATTGTTATCTGTATATCTATATGCCTAGCTTTTTTTATACCACTGTATATGATCTACCTCTCATCCACTTTTCTGCTGCAACACTGTGAATTTCCGCATTGTGGGACTAATACAAGAATATCTTATCTTAGGAAATTGATACAAGCCCATTCTGCCAATCAGTCATCATGGGAAATGTGAACTCTCTGCCCAACAGAAGTGATGAGCAGGAGATATTGGTTAAGATTTAGAATGTGTACTATGAGTGCAGCCTGATGTGTTTTACTGAAACCTGGTTGAATCAAAACATCTCAGACTCCATTGTGGATATACCTGGCTTCACTCTCATACGGCCAG